CATTAAATAATATTCCAGCTGATGTCCAATAATAATAAACCTATCTATATAATTTTCAACACCAGGCATGTTGGGAGACAGCCTAGGGTAAAAAGAACTCCCAGAAGTTAGGGGATAATTATGATTAAGAATGAAACCATTGCAAGTTTCCAGAATCTCCCTATAAAGATACACATCAAATGATTCCAGCCAAAGCCATAGCTAGGAATACTAACAAGTTAAAATATTACTTAAGAAGAAAAGGTGCAAGAAATAGAAATACACTGGAAGCAGGAAGGACCGAGGGTCCAGATCTCCTGCCTGATAATATCGTATTTTAATTGACAATTAATTGGGCAAAGTTATGAGCTGAAACATAATGGTAATGAGGTGATTTTACCTTTATACCATAACACATTTATCTCCAACTTAGAAATACAAAACCTAAAAAGAAGACTGACTCACTGATCCAATAGGAAATTCAGCAAAGAAGTGAGTCAAACCTACAGGAGTGAAAAAGCAGCATGGATACATTTTTCTTGGTCTCACCAAAAAAAAAAAAAAAGCTAGGCTATTACCAAAAAAGTATTAAAAATAATGAAAACACAAGAAAATGTCTGATCTAGAAGCAGTGCCCATTACATAACATTCTGGTACAGACACAAAATGGCAAGTTAAATAATATTACAGAGTAATGATCTGTTTTCTAAATCACTCAGTGAATTTCACAGAAGCAGCACGGTTTCCACGCACCACTGAGCCCCAGCAGTTTTACATGGCCAGAATTACTGAGTATAACGTGTGCAGAAAAGACGTCTGCATGATCAGAAGGTGACACATACACATAGATAAGAACAGATAATAAAATGCAAAGGTCCACAGGCAGAGCAGATAAGGTCAAGAGCCTCAACGTTAATTCACAGGTTGGAGAAATATGGGATAAATATATGGCCAATGGATATTACTCTGCTCTCCTAGTGTAATTATGATCCACAGTTACGCATCCTTCATCTACACAAAAATAAATGTCTAGTCTTAATGCAAATGATGTTCATTTCATCAAGATGCTAAGTTAGTACTACAGTCATCACTACAAATTTCACGTGAAATACCATGCATCCTGGCACATCCCAGCTCAGTACTGCTACAAGAGGGGCGTGAGGAAAAGCCAGGCAGCTTGCAGATGCTTTCACTCAGAAAGGCAGTACAAGCTGATACTTTTCTATGATTTGCTTTGAACAGTGGAGTGTTGTCAAACATATACCAAATTAATGATCTATTTAAAATGTATCCGTTGGATGCCATTATGATTTCTGTGCAGTCTGAAATGACCACTACAGAGGCAACCTGTAAAACTTTTACAAAAGGTGTGCTAGTAGCTTTACTCTTATGCACAAAACCAACACATTAAATCCAAACTGAAGTGCTTACTCTAAAACTAGCATTACAAATCCCACTCTCTAATTCACTTAGGAACACAGATACTTCATCTACACTTGTGTATTAAGCCAGTGTGGTTACCTGCTTGCTGTGATTTGATTGCCTGTTTTTAACTAACATGCAGTACAGAATCTCTGCCTTAACTGTACTAAAAACTACAATTCAGCAGCAGTGCAAGTCAGACATGTTTTGCTATGAAGAGCCCCAGAACACTCTCCCAGCAATGTCTTTGATTCTTTACTCTGTTGCAACCCTCTTCTGACTATTCTCCCCCTTTAGGCTTCAGAGCTTAAGCCAAGCACTGGGGAATCTGTGAGATCCACAGCATATTTGAAGGGGAAGTCCACACCTATAAACTACTGTCTCCCCAACTCTTGGGAAGCTCTTTTCTAACATCTTCCTCATAGTCCTTCTACCCTTGATTTTCCTGTCACTAGGTCCCTTCTTGCACTACAGCCTCACCAGCTGAGAGGGAGATGATGTTAACAGATGATGATTAGCTAGACTTTACCAAGATTAAACTGGTACTGTTACTGCAGAATGTGATGCCCACCCATTCAGTTCTCAAAGCACAAGGTTACAACACCAAAAGTCAAACTGGGAGTACAGAACAGAGCACACAACAGCAGTATTCATGACTGCCAGAAAAAATGTCATTTGCATAACCAGTCATTGGGAAAGCATTCGTCAAAAAGATACATCCTTTTCCAGCTACCAATCTGAAAATGCTAAAATATAAGCTGCTAAGCAGTATCAGCAGCAGTGATTTGGATGAATGTATTGGAAAGGATAAAGAAATGTGAATCATGTGCTTAACAGGTATCCAATATTGGTACAAAAGACTTCTGAAACAGAAGTTTCTTGCTGACGGCATCTTCATTATTTTCAAGACAGAAGCTGCTTGATGACCATGTGGAGAAAGCAAAGAACTTCGCTGGTTTTACGACAGACATTAAAACCAAACTTTGAAGAAAGTAGTTTAAACAAGACAGATGAAGTTCCCCTGTGAGTCATTATTTCCCTGACACAAATAGTTGATGAAACAGTTACAAAAAGCATTACAGCTTTTACAGTGGGACTGGAGAATATGTTATGGTTACATTCTGTTACTCCCTTCAGAGAAGGAGTCAAACACAGACCTATTTTCACTTAGGAAATAATGCCCTAAGAAACTGGCAAAGATGCTCATGTATCAATTAATGAAAAAGAACATCTGTTCTTTTTCAAGAAAGGAAAAGACAGGAAAGGAAAAGGCCCTTTTACGTAAAAGTAAGATGATTTTCAATCTACAAGCTACAAAGTTAGCTTTCCTCGAGTGCCATGTACACACACATTCAGTTTAGGGTCATTTAAAGCTTTTTTGTAAAAGTGGAATGATGTCCAAACATCTAATAGGAATTACTACTATCCTTTATCATTGCTATTAACTAGTACTTTAAAACATTGTCTGCCACAAATAGGAGAAATGAAAACAAAAAGTACTACAGCAAAATATATATTAAAAAAACCTCAAACCAAAAAAAAAAAACCCAACAGAAATACACATAAAAAATGAAAAATAAAGTCTTTGCAGAAGCACACAGTTGTCAATACCTGAACACCATGAAACCATGAACAGTAAGTTGCTCTTGCACTATGCATGCCAAATTCAATACTGAGGATCCAGACAACTCCTCAAGAAGTGGAAGTAATTACAATTTAATACAATTTGTAAATACCACCTGAAAGTCACAGAAAGGTAACAAATATAATGTATGTCTTGATGCTGACACACAGCACACCTTTTTATAACAATGAAGACTTTGGGTTAAATGGGATGAAGTGCAATTACAATCAAGTTATAAACAAAAACAAGAGTGACTGTATCTAATGCCAAGTTATAAACAAAAACAAGAGTGACTGTATCTAATGCCAAGTTGCTAAACATTTATAACAAGTGGGACAGCATATACTTGTAACTACACCCGCTTTTCTAATGCCCTTTGGTGACAACTCTGAAGCTGTGGACTGCCTGAGAAGAATACACTGATTCTGTGTAACCAAGCTTTCTCCTAAGAATGTGTTCGACTTACCTAACCCTCAGGACCACAGTAAGTTTTCCAGGGAGGCAGAGGGAAACCAAGAGACCTGCACATTCTACAATGCAAGCAACCGCACAAATAATGTGCCAGTCCAAGTTATCTATGTATGGAAGACTGATTAACAACTGGGATGGAGTCAGTCCTACTGCAGTCTTACAACACCACATTTAGTCTACAAATAGTGAGACAGAAGCATGAGGAAAGATTTAAGAGGGAGAAATAAGGTCATACCCTGTAGCCCAGTGATTGACAATAAAGGACTGGATGGGGCAAACAGCTGTTCCTTTTCTTTCTACAAAGCATAAAAACTTTAATACTACACATTAAGTGGCCTTCCACAGAACTGAACAGCCCAATCCCTAATTAGGATCAAGAACCTCAGCATAGGACTCTTAAACCTAAGCTGTTCTATGAATGTTCGCTTCAGCTTTTTGTTGAATCAGTTTCAATGAACTGCATTTCCCATGCCCCCATGCCCCAAGAACTGGAAAAAAGTATCCAAAGCCTCAAAAACTGCTTCACACCAGTGAATATTTTGAAAATTCCTTCACTAGCACGTGTCAAACAACTTTTTCCAGATACGTAATTATTTATTGTAAGGCTCAAAGCCAAACTCAATGAGGCAATGAGATTAGGCATTATAAGATGTTCACTCTCAATTTATGCAGATATAAGATAACTTGCATTTGTTTTTCCACCAGCTCTGAGAAGTCACAATCTTTTCCTATCAATGTTTAAGGAAGTAAGAATTAAGACAAGTCTTACTTAAGAGCCTTACTTGAGATCCCCATTTTTACACTTTGAGCACAAAGCAAAGGAAAACATGCAGAGGACTGAAAGTCAATGGAATGATAGTCTTGCTTTATAAGTGCACACATTGGTATATACATAAAGTTATGAGCAGTTATAGTATAAGGATAAAAAAAGAGTAAAAACCAGATTTGATTTAGATGCCTTATTTTCCTGGGGGCAGTCCAAAAGGACTTTCAGAAACTGCCTTTACTGAAAAAGAATTTCTATATTGCATGCCTAGCTTTGTGAATCTTTCCAAAGGCGGCTTGTCTAGAATGTATCAGCCAGGATATGGCCTCTGGATGTTTCAGGCATTTAAGATGCCTTCAGACCTCCCTAGTGTCTTGTTTGGCCTTTTCCATTGAAGAAAGAAACCAAACTTTATTTCAATGATTTCCACTCCTCAAGATGTGCATTCTTAAACTGAGTAATTTTTTGAGAGCAGTTCTCACATAAGCATAGGTGGGATAAACTTAGAATCTTACGCAACTTTACTTTTTCCTCACTTGAGAAATCAGAACTTAATTTAAAACTGTAGGATCATAGAAACATCTGTTCATTTTTGAAGGTACTAGTATATGAAATATTTCAAACAATAGCAAAACAGACAAGTAAAACATCAAGTTCCCACAGGCTACAACTTCAAAATTCCTTCTGGTTTTTATCTCATCACTGATAGGCAGAGACACCAACAAGCATCCAACATACCTGCTCCAACTTCTTTTTCTTCTTCTTCAATGTTGTTTTTGATACTGTCATATTCCTCATCGATTGCCTGGTTGCCACGCATTTGAGACAGAATTCTCCGTGCTCTCTGAGTCTGGCCTTTCTGAATGAGCCATCGGGGACTTTCAGGAAGAAACAGGAATCCAAAAAACTGTATAACTGCTGGAACAGCTGAAAGGCCCAGCATGTACCTGGAAATACGTAAAGAAATAAATAAATGCCTAATATTTGCCTATAAAAACATGCTATGAGGAGACTCAGTTGACAAAGGAATATGCCTCTTGTGTAAAGAGATGCCAGTTTTACTTTTGCAAATTTCTAACTATAAGCAGAAACACTGAAAAAAAGTCCATTTTACCAGCACAGCACTTTACACCAGCTCTTTTGGAGACTCTGCCTTTAACTCTTCAGCCAGGATGCCATGTTAGGTTTTAATTCAAAACTGAATTTGAGATGCCAAGGGCAAGAGGGGGGTTACTATATACAGCATTAAGGATAGTTCTCTACTCAACAGAGAATTGCCACTGGCCGGAGAGTTATGCTTCCAGGGATCAGCACTGACACCTCTGAAAACACCCACACATACCCCAGCTAAAGTGGGGAGAAAAGACTGTGGAAGACAAGCACACCACCAACGTTCGTGGGTTGTTCTGGTCTATACACTTCGCATTTTTACATCGCTACAATGAAACGCTAAGAAGATTAACAAGAACTGCAGACCAACATATAATTTTGTTCTGTTCCTTAAACCTGACCTTTTCCCATTTACACTTCACTGAGATTTTTTTCATTTCCATTAAAGACTTTAAGTGGTGCTGATGTTACCTGTACATTATTGTAGCTATCCCAGGTTTCACCATCAGTGGTTATAATCATTAAAATACCTCTAGAAACTAGCCCTTAGACTGAATACTGAGATAGTCTGTACTCATAAACAGTTTCACACCTTGACATCAGTAACGAGATTAAGGAAACATGCTAATCTCTCCTCTAGCTCCTCTCTTCATGCAGGCTTTCACACAGATGATTCAGCAGTCTTTCACCTCCATGTTTCCACAAAGCATGCTATGAATGTTTGCTAATGGAGTAGGAAAGAGCACAACTATTATGGAAACCTTGTTTCAGGGCAACAAACCAAACGTATTTGTCAAATCCAAATGCATTTGGATGAAAACAGAAAAATACTTTCTTAGATGCATTTGTAGATTTAAGAAAGACAAACATGAGCAATACAACAGGGCAGAAAACTGAAGAATGAGAACAAGAACACTCAAAGCTAACGCAAAGAGGATGGCCATCCCAGGACAATGTGCATGCAGGCCAGTCTTCCCATCCCCAAGCTAAGCCCTCAAGTTCTTCCTAAAACCAGCAAATATTTTCAAAGGTCATACACGTAAATCTTGTTCTAGAAAGAAATCCGTGAGCAGATTTCTTATTCTCTAACATTCTAACATCTCTTATTTTCTAACACTCCAAGAATGGTGTATCTTATCATCAGTTAAAGCTTGTGGAACGATTATTACTTGAGTAGTCTGCAGCCAACATATCTAAAAAGCGTCACTAACTCACTTATGTTCTTATTCCTCATTCACTAATGTTCTCATTCATTAATAGTCGTCATTTCTTCCTATGACCTTCCCTCTCCACAAACATTTTGTAGCTGTATACAGAACAATCTTTACACACACACACCACTGAAGCTCACCAAATTGTATATTCAATGTCTGCATTAGAGTGGTATTTAGAAAGCCTTTTCTATTTCAAATGAAGAGTAAAACAAAACCATGGAGATTAAAAACACAATCATTGCATTCTGTCAAACTGCATTAAAAGAATCTCTTAACGCATCAAAATAAACAGATTTAGTCTTTACACTCATATTACCTAATTTCCATTCCTCCAAAGCCCTTCAGTCCCTTAAATGCAACAGAGTCTCCAGAACTAAGCAGCTGGGTGCCTGCAATCATCTTAGGAGGCAAAATCAATTGAAGCCCCTGAAAGCTCAATCTGGACTGTAACACTACCAGTTGGACTCTATTGAATAGATTGTTTATCACAAGCAAGATAAAAAAGAAATGTGCAGAAAGTGCTCACTCACTAGCGTCAGCTTCCAATTGACATACTTCTGGTCAAAGCTCAGAACAAGGAGCAGGCCAGAAGGAAAACATTCAGTTAAGAGCATACGTCCATTGCAAGTTCAAGAGTTGATGCAATTTTCAGATCAAGCAATTTTGATCTAACCAATTGAGAGTAAAAGCAGGCAATTTTAGACGTTTCATGCATTGAGCCAGCTTTCAGAAATCTAATATAGTTCTTTCCTATACAGAGTACAAGACTTCGCATTTGAAGGCAGATGTCTAGCAGACCTGAAAAAATCCAGCATGAAATTTAATAAGCCTGCTGTAACATTTCTGCTTCTCAGACATACTGCTGCAATACTATTAAGATGGCATTAGACAGATTTATAAAGCTAACCTGACATCAGAGTAAGGTTAAATATTTGTTTTCTTTGGTGTACTTTTAATTTAATATCCAGCATCCCAAGAACAGTAAAGTTCCTTACTCCTACTGGAGTGTAGCACTTCAATACTTAAGCATTCAGTCACTAAGCTACAGTAATTGCTGTAATTTTCCTTCTTATACATGATGACTCAGGAGTGAACATCTGTGATTTCTTCCCATGCATTCACTGGCCACTCTTCCCAGGTAACAGACTATCTGTACTCTTACCTGCTCAGTCTTAGGTTGCAGTAAACTAACTGAGGGCAGACAAGTACACAATCCCCAATTAACAGCTCCAGCATCACAGCTAAGAATCCTTGGATACCTCATTGATACCACAGCCTCATCTTCTGCCCAATGAATCGTCAATGGCTTCACTTGACTCCGCTCAATCCAGTGGAACTTAACTTAAAACACAGCATTGCTGCCTTAGCAAAAGTAATCCAGCATGAGCCAGGAGGCTGCTAGAAACAATTGCTCCTCACTCAACACACTGAGCTGAATCTGGAAGACCAGGATCACTAATGTGAGAGAAAGCTACAAACGAGGATAGCAATGGATCACTAAGACAGTCATGCAACTGTAATGTATGGCATAAAAGAGGCTGAGAGAACTGTGTTTGTGCTGCCCAGAAAAGAGATGATCAAGATGAGATCTAACTGCATCTTTCATAACTGAAAAGAAGCCCACAGAGAAGACGGTGTAAGATGCTTCTCAGATGTACACTGTGAAAGGACAAGAGTCCTCTCTTATTGACAAGAGTCAATAGTCACAAGTTGCAACAGGAAAATTCAGATCAAAGAATGAGGGAGAAAATTCTTCACAGTAGGGGTGACTGAAGAGCTGAATAAGTTGTCTTGAGAAATGGAGATGTCCATTGTCGGAGATTTTCAAAAGCCAGCATCTCACACAGCTCTGATCAAGCCTCTTAGTCTTACTTAATCCACAGGTTCTAGATTTTATTTTTATTTTTTTTAGTTCAGATAGGTTAAAGGCCTGAATTACACACATTAGAGGGGTTTTTGTTCTAAACAGCATAAGCTACACCAACGTGGAAGTTCTCAGAGGACTTACGCAGTATTTCAGTGGGTGGAGCCTATTTAAGGTACAGTGGCATATTGAAACGTCAGTGTTTTACAAAAAGATAAAACCTACATTTGACAATGACTATTGCCTTCCATCTAATCTTCCACTTTAGCTAAATATATTTACAACATAACATATTAAAAGATGTAACTTGCATGCATGTAACAAACCACAATGATATTTTTCCCTTAAATAGTCATTTACCTACGAATGTTCTTGTCAATCCTGTGTCACTGCTTGATTTGAAAACTGATACATCCTATACCACAATGCTAACTCTTTGGCTGATCTTTTCCAAAGAGGCCTAGAAATCTGCTTTTGTGCTACAAAATCTCAAGCTAGGGCACATCTTAGTTTACCTGAACAGTTAAACAAAAAACACCGCTCCAATAAGATCAATACCTGACAGATACTTTGTTAGCTTGTATTTTTCTTCTAATGTGCTAGTATTTACTTAAACACACAGGTAACAAACACGTCCTTACCTCCTATGTGTCAGTGCACTAATAGGAAAAAACCCAACAGATTTACATCCACAAAAGCTTCTTCCAGCTGAATCCCTGCTCACTGAAGTAAACAGAAATCAAAAAATCTGCCTAAACAGAAAGTGCACGGTGCCTCTAACAGCAGCAGGGACTCAGAGTTCCACTTCTAAATAAATATCTTGTCCATTCCTCTCACCCAGCCCCATGCGTAAGGGGCCATTACATTCACAAATTACTTAGGCTAAAAGGTAAATAAAGAAGCAACTACTGAATAATTGGTATCAGGTATCAAATACTTCAGTTTGTATTTTACTTAGAAAAGCATTACTGCATGCCATTAACTTCTCTCAAAATGAAGCATATCTCTTTAACTGCAGAAAGGGATTAGCAATCCTACAAAACTAGGATTTTCTTTCAGGGAAGGCTGTTTCTTCATTCTCCATAAGAGGACATACAGTCTGCCAGAGAATGCAGATGCATTACAATAAAAAGGTCATCAAAAGCTCCACGTAAAATGACAAATGCTATTTGTGTTTGAGCCAAAGTAACCAATGCATTTTCAGAAAGCACAAAGCAGAGCTAAAACTTTAAATTAAATTAAAATTAAACTAAATCATGGACTGACTATTTTTTTAAGATCAAAATGTTACATCTTTTCATAAAAGAGGCAAAGGAAACTATCACATGGACAAAAATGAAAAACCTCAAACTTCAGGAATCCTAAAACATACACAAATTAAAGCACACATTAATTAAGAAAATATTAACTTCTTATTTTAATGCATATGTAGCATTTTAAAGTATATTTCTTTACATACTACAGAAAGATGGGCTTCCAAGTTCTTCTATGTATCAAGTCCCAAATTAATTGTTCCTAACTTAAACCTCAAATGACAGTGCACCTAGAAATTGCTATTTAGCTCCATTACAAGCCAGAGAATGTGGTATTTAACTTGCAAGGCTTTGGGGGTGGGATCCTTCAAATTAAGATTTTCAAACAGCAAAATTACTCCAGGCTGTAGCAACAGAAATCAAAGGCCCTACAACATGTGTCCCTTTCCCAAGAGTGTCTGAAGACAAGAGCACATTTCCAGAAGTTAGAATGTATAGCATAAGTTATTCATCTACGCATTTCTGCTCATTATTTTTTCAAGTCAGCAAGTAAAATACCGAGCCACTGAGATTTCTCATCTCTCTCAAATGACACACCACTATAAATACAGTAGGTATAAGGGTACAGTCCAGAATCACTTAGTACTGTCTACAGGAAGAACATAATATCTAGAAAGTAGAGTCTAAGAGATTCATATATTCTATAACCTAAGCTTTTAACAATGAAGTTATGCTACAATAGCCTTCAATTCTGTGCTCAGTTTAAGAATATCCAAAATACACCACTATTTTGCACATAGAGTATCACTCTTGTTGGAAATTTGCTTTCTGAAAAATCACCATGTAATTATTCTAAATGCAAGAGGCAAGTTACTTTCATAAACATCATGTCAACCATTCAAGCTTGTTGATGCATATTTATTGCTCATCCATTTTGAAGTTTAGTAAAGTCAAAAAACCTAAGCAGACTGTGAATATTAAGCCGAAGTGAAAGCAGTATGGATATCATTTATGGAGAGTTAATTACTAAAGTTCCATTTCAGTATATAATTTTACCACTTTGTACGTAAACTCTGTTTTACCAACAAGATTTATAATAGCTGTCAACCAAATCACAACCCCACCAGCTTTGCTTTTAGCAAGGAAGACTCACAAACCTCCATCCATCCTTCGCGAGGTAGCTGAAGATTCCATCAACGACACTTGCAAAAAACTGCCCTCCAGTGATGAACAGAGTGTTAATGGTGACTAATCTGCCTCTTAAGTGTGGTGGAGCAACTTCTGCGATGTACACTGGCACAGTCATAGATGCTACACCTATAAAAACAAATTCAATTACAGTTATAAAATAGAAAAAGATACTATATCTCCTTTTCATCATAAAAGATACCATTTTGTGCTGGTATGGGGCTGGAGTAGAGTTACTTTTCTCTGCAGTAGCTAGTAAGGGGCTATGGTCTGGATTTGTGCTGGACACAGTGCTGATAACACAGGGTGTTTTAGCTAATGCTGAGCAGTGCTTACACAGAGCCAAGGTCTTTTCTGCGCCTCACACCACCCCACCAGCGAGCAGGCTGGGGGTGCACAAGGAGCTGGGAGGGGACACAGCCGGGACAGCTGACCCCAACTGACCCCAGGGATATCCCACACCATATGGAGTCATGCTCAGCATGTAAAGCTGGGGAAGAAGAAGGAAGGAGGAACAGTGATGGCATCTGTCTTCCCAAGTAACCGTTACGTGTGATGGATCCCTGCTGTCCTGGAGATGGCTGAACACCTGCCTGCCCATGGGAAGTGGTGAATGAATTCCTGATTTTGCTTTGCTTGTGCAGCTTTTGCTCTACCTGTTAAACTGCCTTTACCTCAACCCATGAGTTTTCTCACTTTTACCCTCCTGATTCTCTTCCTTCAGCCCACCAGGGGAAAGTGAGCAAGTGGCTGTGTGGAGCTGAGTTGCCAGCTTGGGTTAAACCATGACAAGGCACCAGAAGCAGTGGCTGGATGTGACTTGGCTTGGGTGCCCAGTAACTCCATGCCACACACCACCTCTCCTGTCCTGAGCAACCACCATAACGGACAGAGCTCAAAGGCATGGACTAAATGAACTCATTAGACATTTATGGATATTTTACAATTATTTCACAGGGATGGTCCATAGAATAAGGGAATGATATCTGTGTAAAGCATGGGAAGGGTGATGGTGGGTAATAAGAACATATTGGATAGTGTGGGACCTGAGCACAATGTAAATGGTATGGAATAAGGTGTGGAGAATGTGCTGGTTTGGGCGGGGATAGAGTTAATTTTCTTCATAGTTGTTAATATGGGCTATATTTTGGATTAAAACTAGGACCCATGGTTTACAAAATTAATTCTATCTCAGCCAAAATCAGCACACATTAAAAGGAACAAGCTGGATGAATTTGATTTCCAGGTTCCAGAAGATGAAAGAAAATACACCTAATGCTAGAGGCATACCCAGAGTAAATGGGCAGACATACTCTGGTTGCTATTGGCTGTACTGCAAATTCAAGGTCTGATGTAATGATACAACAAATAACACTCTTCAATTCACATTGCACGTATACTAGGATTATTAAAAAGCACAAATATGTTTATAGTTTTGAAACAAGGAGATACTGTGATCCAAGTAAGCACACGTGAGTCAAACTGACTGACAATGCCAAGTGCTCACAGCTGAGTTTAAACAGACCTTTAGTATGGCTTCCACCTCCAAGAAAAAGCATGGCCAAGCATTATTATCCTCATTATTATTATTGTTATTACAGTGTAATTTCATTATTGTTATATAGAACAGATTGTTTCTTGACTTGGTTTAAAAGCATTCCATATGCAGTGCTAAGAACTCTTACTGCCATAAGGAAGCAAGGACTGAAGCTAAAGCACAACTGCCTTTTATTCTGTCATGCACTGGTAGCATTTCCCATGAATTACGCTGTTGTGGTTTAGTCCTGGCTGGTAACTCAGTACCACACAGCCACTCGCTCACTTTCCCCCTCCCCTCCCTGTGTAGAATGGGGAGGAGAATCAAAAGAATGTAAATCCCATGGGTTGAGATAAGAACAGTCCAATAACAAAAATAAAGCACAAGATGATACCCCTACTATTAATAATGAGAGATAAATGATACCACTACTAATAATAAAGGGAAATAACAAGAGAAGAAAACATAAAACTAGAAGAATGAAGGAAAAACAATACACACAAGTGATGCACAACACAACCACTCACCACTCGCCAACCGATACCCAGCCCGACCCACGCAGCAATTGGTCCCTTCCGGGTGACTCCCCCCATTTTCTATACTGGGCATGACGTGCTGTGGTATGGAATACCCCTTTGGCCAGTTTGGGTCAGGTGTCCTGTCTCTGCTTCCTCCCAGCTTCCCATGCCCCTCCTCAGTGGCAGAGCATGAGAGACTGTAAAGTCCTTGGTCGGAGTAAGCACTACTTAGCAACAACTAAACCATCAGTATGTTATCAGCATTGTTCTCAGACTAAAGCCAAAACACAGCACTGCACCAACTACTAGGGAGAAAAATAAGTCTATCCCAGCCAAAACCAGGACATACGTGATGGCTCTACATGAGCCATTTGCGCAAAAGAGAGAAACGCCCATGAGGAACACACACAGAAGCATGCACACAGACACAAACTAAAACCAGGAGTTCAACAGTGTATAAAGAGCAGAGCTAGGTGAAGTACATGTTTTGGTGGTCCAAATTCACCAACAAAGGCACATCATTCAAAGGAAATGTATATCCCTATTTCCTTAAGAGAACGAATTTGTAGTTAAAACTAGCAGCACACTGGCGGCGCACACACAAACCCACACTGCAGCTGAAGCCAGCTGACACACAACTTGAGTATGGCCAAGCACCAGCGGAGACATCACATCTTCCAGCCTGGGGCAGCTCTACCAGGTCCACACCAACAACCCCACGCCAGCAGGGGCCGGTGCCGCACCCCCACCCAGAAAAGGGGTCCCCTGCGGGTGTGCACGCGGCTCCTGCAGCACGGCTGCGGCTCCCGGCTCATGTCACGGCAGAAAGGCTGTGTCACAGAATGGCAGAGCCTTCAGCCAGTGCCTCGCTGCCCGACTGACTCACCGACCGAAAGCACAGCCATCACCTTTAGCAACAGGGTTAGCCTGGCAGAACTGCTGGGAGCCTCTGAAAGCCTGAGCAAGGAATACGGATTGTTTAATAATAAAATGGTATCAGAAGATCCTTCGTGACGACAGGTAAACACTCACAGCAGCCTCTCAGTGTGATAACCCAGTTCCCGGCAGAGCCTCCCCAGGACACACCAATGCCTCCTCCTCCTCCGACTGACCGAGCAAATAACAAAATAACCAAACCACATAAAAGTGTCAGGGAAAAATAAAACCATTAAAAATGTATTCAACCATTTCTCAAAGCCGACCACAATGCACCACGGAACAAAGCATTCAAATAGCCCTCTGCGTGTTTGACAGAGAAGCAAATTTTCAAACGTAGTCCACCATTAGGGATATTTCTCTCATCTTTCACAGCAGCATTTGAACTAATTACAGTTAAAGCAATGGAGATAGCACACATACATGGAAAAGCCTTTATGGGAAATCACAGGAGCAGGTCTACTTTCTCCGGCACGCCACCTCACACACTCATGGCCATCTTCCCATCACTGGGACTGGCCTGACAGGACACCCAGCTCCATGAGGCCAGGCACAAAGCCTGTGATGGATAGTAGAGGGCTAGGAAAGGCTCAGCAGCAAAACAAGCATAGAGTAATTCCCCCACCACACCCTAAATAAGCTTCTGATAATCGCCAGCTTTGGGAATTCATGACTCAATGGACCAGATGCTTGATATCGCCAGAGGGCTTTTTAGAAGCCATTCATTCTTTGGCTCTCTGCTACTCTATTTAGACTAATCATCACTAAAAAAGCCATGGGAACTCAAAAATGGGGGGGGAAAATCTGCTTGACAGGGGCTGTTTTATCATTTGCCCCATCAAAACCTTCCCTGCTGTTTGCAAGGGTAACATGGAAATAAGAAAAGATGATTGAAAGCAGAGCAGCAGGTATGAAGATACCAAGCACTTCAACATGGAGCTGACAGGTATAGAAATAGAACAAGGTCTTGCAATAAATACAGGGAAGAAAAATATAGTTGTATTTCTGTCTTTCAGGAGACACAATAAGAAAACTGACCTTACATCTTTCTCTTGGAAGCTACTGAAGGTCAGTCCTCATTAAAAGCTTTACTAAAATAACATAGTGCACAACTTAAACCAATATGTGTTCTGTAAAAAAAGTTACTTTTTTCCCCCATTCAACTCTTAATGAACACTGATTTTACACAGGATCTGCAGAGAAATCTTGTTTAAAACATGCCAGCCAATCTGCTTGTCTGGCATCCAAAAAGCAGAGCCATGCCACTGATCAGATCAACAGCTATGGCTAACGTTCAGTTCACACCATCAGTCCTGAGACACTGACAGAACCACCATTAGCCCTGGCTAACGCAGCACTTGGCATTTACAGGTGAAACTAAAGCCTGCTGCTGTAACATAAAGGTAGTGTGAAAGTTAAAATGTGTGTCTTGAACTAGAGGCACCATGACAGCAGGAGATTTACAGCTTCTGCTGTGTTCTTGCCCCAAAATTAACAACTACAGCAATTAGCAGAGGAAGGGGAAGCTTGCACACCTCAACAGTCCTGTCACAAGCTAGCCAGTGATACCAGCTATTCATTTGGCATTAATACAATAGTTGAAATTATTTATTACCAAACCTACAATGAATAGCACATGATTTCTTACAAAAACTGAAGTGGTTGGAGTATTAGTTTACAATCACACAGAATTCTTTAGATTGACAGGCACATTTGGAGGTCATCTAGTTCAACCCCTGTTCAAGCAAGGTCAGCTAGAGCAGGTAGTCCAGGACCAAGTGCAGACAGGTCTTGACCATCTCCATCCAAAATGATTCTGTGATTCTGCAACTTCCATGTCAGCTTTCTCACGTGAGACTTTTCACGATGTTGCTATCAAAACCAGCCTTTTTGGCTTTGTACTCAGACCTTACTTCTTCTATTAGGATTCCCAAAATGTATAGGTTCAAAACACCAAAACAAAGACCTCAGTTCAGAAGATAAATTATGTTATGTATTCCAGTTATCATTTAGATATCAAAACATATGCGTTGCTGCTCCAACTCTGAAACAGAGTGTGGCAGGAGGTTTTGGGAAATGGGAGGAGGCAATAAGGAAAGCCTCTCCAGTCTGTCTGGCTGCCATCCAGGAAGCATCACACACAAAAGCAAAGTTCTTTCAAGAAGAATCACTAGGAGTAAGTTATTCTGAAACAGATCAAAATACGGAAAAAAATCATACCACTTTAAGAAAATAATGGTTTAGATTCTACAAAGTTATTTAAATTACATATTTGTTTTCAATTGCCTTAGAATGCATCAATGTTCTCCAGATTTTTCTCCTCTAGTTTCAATTTAAGACACAGTAGAACATCAGAGAATAAGTTCTTGTGAAAAGGCACAGTTGGATGCAAGGCATTAAATGCTAATCGACTATAAAAATCTCTAAAATACATAACCAGTATTCATTATTTAGTTATTTTAATAGCTAGATGTTAAAGAAATTCAAAAACAAAGAACAGCTTTCCTAGCAAAATAAATATGGCTGCAATGGAATCCTTCATTAATCTTTGATATGACAATGCTTTCATTTACACTTAGATGACATTTTATAATATGCTTTCACTGTTAAACTGCTCACACCAAATAAAAGATTCTTGCTGCAGGCAAATATGTTACTACCTAACTAATAAAGCTGGTAAGTGACAAGACACGAGAACAAGAAAATGAAACAAATTAACTGGAAATCTGTCAGAGAAAGTTTAAGCTCTACATTGTGCACCAAAGCTATGAAATCTGAGACAAGAGAGCAGGAAAGCCCAGTCTTTATCCACTTGAGTAACCAAGGCATTAACCTTCTGACCTCATTAAAGAATATAGTTCAGAAAAAATATAACAGAAGGTTCCCTAAATTTAGATGACAAGATGCATCTAATTTTATGGGAAGCATTAGAAGACGGGATGGACTGAAATAATCATATTAAATATTTTTTCACTTCAAAGATCACTTAGAAGACTAATTATTAGAACTGCTACTATCATCTGTAGACTTATCACTGGAAAGCAGAGACAAGACAGTGCACAGCTCAATTTTAAGACAATCAATAGAAAGCAGGTGTGAAAAGGCATCTTAGAATCACATTACCGACCAGAAAGGTACTTTCAGGATGAACGTGTAAGCATTATAAAGAATTCTTTAAGAAGTTCAGTATTGAAGTCAACAAACCTACTCACAGGAGAGATAAAAAGATCATGAAGGAGAAATCCTATGATAATTAGGAGAATTAAAAATAGATTTTAAGAAACAAGATTAAGGTAGCAAAACAAAAGAACTAAACAAGGAATCCTAGTTCTTGTTTATAAAAAGCATTTGGGAATATGGAATGAGTCAGATGGAATATTTTTAAAGACTTTTTCAAGATCAGATGGATATGAAACGTGTCCTGTAAAGACCAGGACTTCCACTACAGCTTCAGTCATGTGTCTAGCACACATGAGGGAAGGTGCATCATAAAAACACATGATCAACAAAAGCTGAAGACAGGATATTGCACGAGATGCACTTTTACTCTTAGCATAATAAAAAAAGGTCTAAGGTAGTGGGGATGTAAGCGTTGGTCATTTCACTAGTGTCAACCAATAACCAGTGTCAGGAGTAGCAAAAACACTGGGAAGGATTCCTGACAAATTTTGCTGTTTAGATTCCTACCCAAGAGCTTCATAAGCACGACTTTAAAAAAACCTTACCCATTGCAATCAGCCTTTCACACTTAGGAATAAAGAGGACTGATGGTAACTAGAAATGCTAAGGAGGCACACCTAGGAACTGGTGCCTCTTTGGGTCCCTGGTTCTGTCCAGCTCACGCTGATCCTTTGCATTGACAGCAAGTAAACTAGGGAATACAACCAGCTAAGGATAGCCACCTGCCCATTATGGGATCTGTACCACTTAGCTCCCTTAAACAGTTCATGATGAGTTCAAAAGCCTGTACTGGCCACTAGGCAGGACTCTGTCTGATAATGGAGGCTGGCCTGAACTGCCATGGGACTCAAGCCTGTCCAATTGGAAACTAAAATCAGGATGTGAAATACTCACCAAAAAAACCAAAATGCAAAGATAACCCTGATTCTATTTCAGAGTACAGTCACTGAGCAATTAAT